GATGATGATGATGATGATGATGATGATGATGATGATAATGATGAGGATGATGATGATGATGATGATGATGATGATGATGATTATGTAAACGACATCGTTTTGTGGGTCTCGTTGTGGGCTGAGCTTTTGTCCAACGACGCTGGTCATTTTGCTGGAGGCGCCTCACTCCGATATGAGGCTGAGGCTCACCTGTTTTCAATGAGTCGGTCAATCTATCAGTCCTTGAGCTGATTACTTAGCTATCATGCAACCCGAAGGAAGTACGAAGGCTGAGCTATTGCCAAATTACTCAAGCATACACAGGAGCAGTTGAGAGTCCGGCGCTGGGTTCGGGTCACAGACTTTCACCGAGTTGTCCAAAGGTGTCGCTACCCTTCCATTTTCTATTCACTCTTTTCTAAGGCTTTCTCCCATAACCATTGTACGTTAAGCATTAACTGATGACAGCAGTCTGGCGGCTAGCGGTATCTTTAGATTCTTGTCTCATAAGGACTCTAGATGCCCAGTCTCGTGAGCATGTGCGGTCCCAAGGCCAGCTGTTGTCCGGGTTCGTTCGTATCAAATGTATTAGTGTTCTTTCACTGGAATGTTTCCTGCTCACCCCGGAAGTCGCAATTCCTCCGTGATGTTCGTCCTTACGGCAGTGAAGTATCGGTGTTGAACACTGATGTCATGCTGTCGATGATGATGATGATGATGTTCGTCCACGGATAGCGGATATACCGACGATATCACTCTTCATCTTACTCAGTGAATGTACTAACTTTGAGATCATCGAAGTACTTCCTTCGCACGATGTGAAGTGCGCTCCGTACCGGCATTGTAATTTGACCGGGTCCGGTGTCTTGATTGCAGCAATGGATCTATCATGGTATTTGCTTAAGCAGCAAAATTACTCATCAGCGACCGTAACATTCCAGTTTCGGCGATCTAGTCAATATTATCTCACAAATAGACGGCTTCCGAACTGGGATATTGCTTTCTGTGTTTACGGTTTCAGGTCACGTAGGTGTCTACAAAATCTTGTCTTACGGGAGGCTTAACCATCTGCCGGTACCTTCTGCTAAACAGACCGTATCAGGATATTGTGGATTTGGAGTTGCTTCATAATTCCTCAGGGGTGAAATGGCTCAGTGGTTAAAGCGCGAATTTACTGAACGGAAGATCTGTGGTTCGAACCCAACCCTGACATCGACTGCTCCTATCTGTGGTTGGACAACCTGACGGTGTATCAGCCCTCGTGCTTCCTTCAGGTGCTACCTCAGCCGGGCCCCCGAAGGGTGTTACATCCGAACGATTATCTGTTATTACATTATGATGATTCATCAAGAACGTATCATAGGATCTTGCCGCCTTTCCCCTCGTTGATTTTGTCAACCCATGGTTGAGGCTATCTGAAATCTCATCTGTTTGCTCGTTCGCTTGCCGTTGGAACGATGGGGTAGATTTATGATGCTGTAACCGTGGGCAAATTTTTGATGGAATTTGAACTGAGTTCCAGACAACCATGTCTGAAAACGGTCGCAACAGTTCAGTGATGGTCGCAGTTTTTGTTGCTTCAAACATACTGAGAAATTCACTCACTCACTGAACACTTATTAAATCCCACAACAATGAAAATGCTTTGCCACTTTGATCCTTCCATCATAACCCACGTGGATGCGCCAGCATACTTGTTCTACCTGTTGCCAAGAATGTGATGACTCTTAGATAGCTTCTCATTGGTAACAGTTTCGACGTACGTAACGTTTATTATATGTAAAGATCGTTGACTTTGAAAAAATTTCTGTGCCAGCAATTTAGGCACTATTCGGTTCACAGTTGAAGCGTTAACTAGGCAATGCGACAAGCAGTTTCATGAAGCGAAATGTGTCAATAAAACGCCGACAACAGTAAAACCATGCTACCCTTGAGCCCAAGGTAGCTCGGTGGAAGATCTGTGATTCGAAGTCAACCTCAGCATCTCGACTGCTCCCCTTTAGCTTGCGCTAACTGGCAGTATATCAGCCATGCCCGTGCCCCGGAAAGACGTTACAGCTGAATGATTATCATTACTTAGTACGCTATATCTTTCCGGTCCATGTTTGTTTACTGAAACACGCTGTGGTGGAAGAGTGTATCTTTGGGAATTGACAAATATATATATATATATATATAGTGTAGGGTAGGGTAGTGAACTAATATGTAGGACTGAAAAGAGGAGGACCCGTGAGTGCGGAGTTGTTTATTAACCGGTTACAAGCTATTAGACCAGAAACGAATCTCATTTGAACAGTATTTTTGAAAAGTGAACACCCTCAAGAATCCTGAGTAATCCTGAGCGTTCTTTGAATGCCAAACGGTAATAAAGAAGCACCTCGACACCTTTCTATCCTGCTGGAAACTTGTGTCAGAGTACGAGATGGTTCAGTAGTTAGAGCGCAAATTTACTGAGGTCCGTGGTTCGAACCCGACCTCTGCCTCTCGACTTCCCCTGTCTAGGCCTGGGCATTCTGGCAGTATCCCAGCCCTCGTGTTTCCTTCGGGTTGTGTGACAGCTAGGCGTCGGAAGGGTGTTACAGCTGAAAGTTTTCTTTTTTAACGATATTGATTCGAGGACGTCTGCCTGTCTTTTAAAGAATGGTGTCCCCTACGGGGGCATCCACGTAATCCGCCCGGAAAGGATTGCCTGCTCAATAGCTCTGCGCACACGGGCTGAATGATGTGACTCTTCAACTATCGCCTTTTATGCGGTCGGCGAACTGAAGTGGACGCAATCTTTCAACAGATTGTATCCTGGACTTCATACCCCTCATATACTGTGTGCAATCAGAAGGGCACCTTGATTGGTTGTAACTAAATATGAACACCTTACCCCCAAGTAAGCCCATTTTTCTTTTACTGATAGACGACTGCTCTGGGATTTTACAGCGTTATTAAGACTATGGAAGACGTATCGACCTAAAAAAAATAGCAGAAATGGGCTTTTCCATTGAAATTTCATGGTTACCTCGTGATAACTGATCTGTTTTAGGTTGTAATAGACCAATCCTGTCAGCACAGGACTGGGCAGGAAGACAGACTCACTGCAGATCCTGACCAATGTATTCTTTTAAGTTTGCATAGCTCGTCCAACGCCGGAAAGTTCATTCCCAAAGCCATCCGACCTTTCTCAGCTGTACTAATCTTCAGACTCGAGCAATGCATCTTAGATAATGGTGTTCAAAAACCGAGAGTTCTCCTACATAGGACTCTATGGCAACGTATGCTCTGCCCTTTACAGACAAGCTGATGTCACCCTGGTGCCACTGGTGACAGGTTGGTAAGGTCTGTCCTGGCCTTCCCGATCTGAGAAACGATATTATCGACAGGTTTATCGATGGATACTCCTGAGGAAGCATGCAAGTAGTATGTGGTTTTCTCATAACTCCGCAGCGAAGGGCTTCTTCCCTTCACAAGTAGGCCACCGGAGCTTCCCACGTCAACAAGCATGAGATTTGTTTTTACTCCCACACGGTCTTGTGATGCCACTTTGCACTCGATAGGTGTGAAACAGGGGGATTCGCTACTCTTAGTCTGACAGATTATGTTTGTTGCTGTTGGCGTCGTTGAACCTCGTGCAGCAAAGTTTTCAACAACGCAACCCTCGCGAGCATTTCAGCGCTCAAACTCGACCAGCACATTAACGTTGCAGCTTTTGGTTGGGTCAGTGGTGTTACACGAACTATAAGGTTAACCAACCATGTTAGCTGTTAGTATGGTCCAAGTATAGTCATTCCAACTTTCACAGGATTAAAAGTTCTCTCATTTGAGTGGACACGCACGGGACTCACTAAAGCATTGCTGCAAGAAACGAGAACGCATACTCGTGATTTCGAATTGGTGCAGAAGCTGTATTGTATTTATCGTTCAGCCGTAGCACTCTTTCGGTGCCAAGCTGCCATGCCACACGAAGGCGAGGGCTGGAATAGTGCCAGGTCGTCCTGCGGGAGTCGAGAGGCAGAGGTCTGATTCGAGTCACGGACCTTCTGGTCAGTAAATTCGCGCTCTAGCAACTTGAGTCATCTCGCCCCCATATTATCGTTTAATTTGACCTTAGTTATTTTATAACACTTATCGGGGGTGGAATCTAACGTTTCTATTCTCTTGCGCGATTATCGTGTGATTGCCAGCTATTTGGGTCTTCATATTTCGTTTTTCGCACTGTAACTTCGGAAACCTGTTGATATGATTGGCTTCCGTGTGTTTCAGACTTTCGACATGCAGCGCACGATCACTGGAATTTTGTTGTTTTCCAATCGCCTTGGTTACTACTTCTCTGGTGCCCTACACACACACACCCTATCCACAGTAGCGTCTAGTTTTTGCACCTCGCCCACTCAGCTGTCTGCGCCTCTTGCGCGTTGCACCTTCGAATTTCTTCATACCCTCCTCTGACCTTGTGACCTCAGTCTTATTTTGGCGCACGCACTAGGTAGGACCTCAGCTTTGTCACACAAATCAATACGACAAGCTGGAATGTGTGGACAGTTTTGACTAGCACGGAGTGTGCTTGTCAGTGTTCATAGGTGTCTGCGCGTACTGTTGCACCTCATATAAACTCTAGCATGTTGCTCTGCTCTTCAGATGCCAGTCGTTTCGCTCGCTCTGTGACAGGCACAACAACATCAACACTGTACCGAGCACGTCGACGCGCATTTGTGGCCGACGACTCAGATGATGATAGCCAAGATGTCTCCCCAATTCCCGCTGCCTCTGCTGTGTCGGTCCTCTCAAGTAACGACGAACAAGACACTTTCAGAGTGCATCACTGCAACTCTTCATCCACCATTCCAGTGAGTGTGTTTTCAATATTTCTATCCTTGAGATTTTCACCTTTATTCAGCTAGCACAAACTGTTGAACAGTGATAGGATGAACTGTTTATCTGTTCAGGTTAATACTAAAACAGATTATCAGTGTGGTGTTCCGTGGTTGCCCACCATCCGCATAATCATTGTCAGCTGTAATAACCGCGTACTTGTCGTACATTGGCTGTGGCTGCCAGTTTTGTTCGCCGATCCGATGGTTCGGGCGGGGTAGTAGCTGCGCATTGGAGGCGGGAGCTGATGAGTTAGTGCGTACGTGGACTGCTAAATGGGGGGTTGGGAGGGGAGCTATGCGCCTACCTGATGAACCCCAAGAAGGGCGAAACCGGTCGTGGGCTGTCGAAGAGTTTTCAGCAACTTAATTTGGTTTTCACGGGAGACTCAGTTGAATCTGATATTCGAGATATCGCAGTATATTTTCATAAAGGAAACTACTCACAAGGTTGCTGAAAACTCTTCGACAGCCCACGACCGGTTTCGATCTTCTTGGGGCTCATCAGGTAGGCACAGTCCCCGAGTTCCCGTCAACCTTATGTTTCACCTGAACCCAAATTGAACTGTTTTCAAGAAATACACTCTTGTAAATCAATTTGGTTTTCACGAGGGACTCAACTGAATCTCTCGTTTATGATATTCTACAACTGAATGTGCTGCACACTGGCCGCTTCATGTTTCAGTTGGCACGTGAGCTGTCGAAGAGTTTCCAGCAACCATGTGAGTAGTTTCCTTTATGAAAATATACTGCGATATCTCGAATATCGTGCCAACCGAATCATGAGGCGGCCTGTGCAGCACATTCAGTTGGAGGTATCATATTCCAGATTTATTCCCCTTCTTCACATGCTTCATCGAACGTTCGGATGCGTCCGCCTTTGATTGGTCGCACTTTGGGTCAGTCGATCTTTGTTTGTTCGAATTCACCGACAATCTCAGACTGCATAAATAGGTCTTACTGGTTGGACAGTCTTACTCCGAGTTCGTCTGCAGTGGATATAGTGCTTTCAGTTTGTAGAACCGTGGCCTTGGTTATCCAATGGACTGGTACTGCGGTTAGTTTAGTTGATCAACGCGTCTTGTCCGTTGATATCCATGTTATAGGCTGTGCTGCTTTCTATCTTGTGGGTCCTGATAAGAACAGTGACAGCTTTGTTAGCTGAGCGTCACGCACGTGCTCGAATCGTCAGATGGAACGGAGCCCACTGACCTAAATGCACTGTACCTGTCCCGGATTGTCCCACCAATAAAGCACCCGCAGCTGTTGTGTGACCATCACTAGGTTCCCGTGTATACACTAGGCTTCATCACATAGTTAACAGACCCCTATACTCTCCGAGCAAAAGCAGGTACCTTTTTTGATGGTATTTCGTAAGTCCGAGTCTTCGCTATGCTTTTGAGAAGCAGTCCAGCTGTTTCAACACCGGTCAACGTTAAAAATGTGGCTGTCCTGTCGTATGAACGATTGACGTGGTTCGTCCTCTTCCCATCATTGGCTTTAAACTGTGTACATTTTTACCGGTTTCGTCTTCAACCTATACTTCGCGAATCCTGGAGACTACTCGAACGCCAACCGTTAGCCAAAGGAGCTGACTCCTCACCTTCGACCTGAAAATTGTCAAGCATCAGTCTTGTTAGTCTGCACGCAATGACGCAACAGAATTTAATGATAGTCATCAGGGACAGAGGAAGGTTTTGTGACAGTTTCGGTGTGTCGGTAGGCAGTGGCGTGCGGTTTTTGACATGCTACTCTTTAATCACCCGTGTTTCGAAAGTGTTTTGTCCAACTGCAGGCCTGGAAGTTGTAGGAGTGACGTAATCTTACGCAATGGCTGTGTGTGCCTTTTATCCACGTAGATGGGTTTCATCCCCAGATTAGAGAACCTCACCTCATATACCACTTGCATTACTCCCATTTAGAACCATTCCCCCGGACACGGGCACTTCTCCGCGTCGTCAGGTACCGTCCACTCCACGGTCAATGGGTCTCACGAATCTATCGGCAAAAAGCGTAGTCATTTACGCCAGCTTTATCAACCTCCAGTGGAAATAATGTTTGATGGATCTTTGTCCGAAGTATGTTTTCTTATCTTGGCCTAAACCATACGTAGCAAGCGCTTCTTGTATCTCACTCTTTACTCGTCACCCTACATTCCGTCCTCTTTCGTGAATTGACCGATGTTCTTTCAGGTCTTTCACTGCTGAGAAGTGTTCGCCTCATCCTTTGAACTAGTCGAGCCGAGATCTTAATGTGTGTGTATGTGCCCAGGCGTCACTCCCATTGCATTGCAGAAAACCGCTTACTCATCTGCAATGCATCGCTCCTTTCTGAGGGAATTGCTTGAAATGCGGGTCGTTTTTCTATTTTGAGGTTGTACATGGAGGCCCGAATCAACCAAGTGTAACTCCTAGCTGTTAGCCAAAAGGGCTTGAGGCGCGAACTGGAAGGTCTGTGACTCGAATCCAACCTCTGCGTCGTTGGTTCAGCTCTAGCACCCCTCCGGTGCCTAACTGCCATGCTACTCGAAGGAAGCACGAGGGCTGAGATACTTCCAGGTTGCTCAAGCTTAGAACAGGGAAGTCGGGAGGCAGAGGTCGTGTTCGACCTTCCGGTCAGTAAATTCGCGCTCTAACCACTTGGGCCATCTCGCCCTCAACCTCTGCATCTGGGCAACTCCCGTCTAGGCTTCGACAACCTCGCAATATCCCAGCCATCTTACTTCCTTCGGATGCTATGGCAACTATGCGTCGAAACTGTGCCACAGACGGACGATCGCTACTATCATTTTTTGTCATTACTGTTATAACTGCTGTCGTGAAGTGCATGTATTATCATATAGGCAAGACTGCGTGCATTTTCAGAAACAGCTGGAAGACTTCCTCTATTTCCGGAGTGATGTATTGAATCTTTAATCTCCTGTTTCGCTGTTGATGGAAAGCTCTGAGTCCTAGTCATATACGTTCTTGTTCCACTGGGCGCCGGGAGTTCCTCGGTTAGTCTGTCCTACTTCGCCCGCAAACATAAATTTGCTCGTTTCCGTGAGACTTACGAGGCAGCCATCAGTAAATTCACTCCGTTTTGTCGCAGGTCGCACAAATTATGCGGGATGCCTTAATCTGCAAGTTGCCGGCCGTGTGGAGCTTAGTTCCTTGGGTTCGCCAATGGCTTATGGTCATGACCATATAATAGATCGTCAACCATCTGTCCTGTCATTCTTTCCGGGTTCTCTGGAGGATTGCTAATCGCAAAATCATTGTTTTCAAGACATTTTTTTAGATGGAAGTGTCTTGTTCTGGTTTCCTTCAGTCCAGGGTTCCGTTTCTTTCCTTTGGTGACTGATTCCGTGCTATCATCGATTTTGTGTGTGTTAAAATAACCGTATCTCCCTTTTTTACAGGCCAAGTCATCAGCACAAGAAAGAAACCAGTGGCTGCTTGTCAGCCTTCACGACGAGAGCTGCTTCGACTGTCATCTGATGAATCGCGATGTCTGGAAAGATCCCCGTGTTTATCAGACGGTGAAGAAAAGTTTCACTTTTCTTCAGGTAGGTTCTGTCAGTTCTCCTTATTGAAGTTTCATGTGCAAATGTGGTTACTTTCCTGCCTCATTCACTCAGGAATTCACGAGTCCCATTGGGTTCAGGTAGTTCCACACACGGCTCTGTAAGCTGTACGTTGTGTCCCATAGTTCTCGCACGTATCCGTCGGGGTAGTCCGTTGTGATTAGTGCGTATGAAACCGGCTGCCAGTCTCTAGAATGCACCGGACTGAGTCCTTTTTGCTGGGTAGGCTTTGAATGTTTTATGGGAATACAGCTTCTTTGTCCGTCGAGAAGAACTTTATCTTGCCCCGATGTGACGGCTTGTTTGCATCCTTAAGCCATCTAATCGGCTGGATGACTATCCGAAGAATTACCGTCTGACGCTACTGGAGTTCCGTCTGGTGGTAGGCCAACGGTGTGATGTACAACCTTCTCGTCTTCTGGACCGTCGCCATGTCTCTCAGGGCAATGAACTACTCTGTCAGTCATACAACAGTCCATGTTAGAGCTTTGATCCTAAAGATTTTCTTGTGTCTAGCTTCAACAGTCCTCGTGCAAAAACTATCCACAACTTGAGTTACCCAACCAGCTGCATAGATGTTGGGCGAAGCTATTTCGCTGACGTTTTCTGATATCTCCCTTCCCTGGTTGTTGATCCATTGACTGTTGATTTGTTCGCTGACTTGCAAACGTTTCGTCGCCATACAAGGGGACAGTGCACCGGTTGGTCTTTCTTTGGATCAACTTAGTTGTTTTTTCATCAGATGAAATTTGTGAAACAAGAATCAATGGCATAACCTTAAGAGTCATATGTTTCTCTGTAATGGACAAAAACACTACTATCGTAGCGACTGAAACATGAAACAGCCTGGTACAGCACATCAGTTGCCTGGAAACATAAACGAGAGATTCAGCTGGGTTCCGCGTGAGTCTCTCGTGAAAACCAAATTAATTTGCAAATGAGTGTATTTGTCGCAATCAGTTCAATTTGGGTTCAAGTAGAACATGAGGTTGACGGAAACTCGGGGACTGCGCCTACCTGATGAAACCCGAGAAGGGCGAAACCGGTCGTGGGCTGTCGAGGAGTTTTCAGCTTATGAGTAGTGCATTACGAACATCACAAGTGCTTTTTAAATCTGAAGTAGGGAAGGTTGAATGAGGTAAGAAATTAATGGAAAAGGAAGTTCCCTCTCAATAAACCTTTGTAACTGGTAGACAATATAGTGTACTTGTCTGAATGTTTACTGCTTTTGCGTTGCTGCTGCCTGAAAACTGAGTAGTCGGAGAGGGACTGCGGACAGATCAGGATTGGAACGTAGTCCATACTAGACACTGGTCGTTCAGGTTGAGGTACGAGATGGCTCAGTGCGCTAAGTTATTGACTGGAAGGTTCGTGGTTCAGCCCCGACCTCTGCCTCTGTCCATAGGCCAGCCGTCCCTAATAACCGATGGATGTCAAGTGCAGGACACGGACCAAACGAAGACATGCCCTGATTCGTCAGGATGTCAGCCCATCCGGATCGAGCATCTTTGACTCGACGATTCTCGAGCTCTCACGGAGATTCTTGCACGACCTTGTGGATTACCCTTGTGATTACCCTATAAATACAGTTGTAATAGGTTTCCTTTGTCTCCATAAAGGGCTGTGTAGAGCCACCGCGCTTTTTGATATACCATAGTGGGCGGAGAAGGAAGCCAAGGGACCGATACAGAGTTGCACGATCGTTCAGCAAGCCACAACAGCCTCTCGGCTTCCTCCGTCTAGGCGTGAGCGACCTGACAGTATCCCAGCCCTCGTGCTTCCCTCGGGTGTCATGGCAGCTAGGCACTGAAAGGGTGCTACAGCTTTTCGATTATCTTTTTTATTTGTCTCATCTTTTGAGGAACTGGGTGATGAAGTCCTTGTCCTCCCTTCGCGCTTCAATATGCCACCGAGAACCATTCCCTGACTTGATTCTGTTTTCCCTTGGCTCACGACTGGTCCCATTCTACTTTTACTTTCACAGATTCCTGTCGACAGTCCAGAGGGCTTTCGATTTCGCAGCCGATACTCCTACGTCACGTCTGCATCTCATATTGCTGTACTGGATCCAACCACGGGCGAACAAAAAGTGATGTGGATGCACCTAAAAGACCCGAATACTGTAAACGAAGTGTGTAAGTTGCCCTATTTCTGTTCTGGTTTTTGCTCAGTGATTACAGAAAGTCTATCTATGCATGGTTTTGAACATTTCTTGAAATCATGCCTTGTTCATTAAGGTACTCGTCCAAAACTCTCAAGTTGTAGCATGTGCTTTTCATATGAAGACCTATCGCTGTCACTAACCCACCGCTACTCACTGATGATGTCACCTCGTTTGGTGATGAGACGTTTGCAACCAAATTGCCCAGCTCAGCGAACAAGCCAGCGACCATTTATGGAGGGCGTCTCTGCAAACTGATGCTCAGTGTTTTTGTATAAGTCACGGACACAAGCTTACCACTTTGTAGAAATGCGTATTCATCAGTCAGAACATTCATACTCACACCACTCTTGTTTGAACAGTCGTCCTGCTGTTCTGGCGTAATTATTCCGGTGCGTCCACACCAAAGGGAAGCACTGGCCTCGAGTTTCGCTCTTATTACAGCTCATCAGCAGTGCATATCCAATGGCCGTGCCTGTATCTGAACCCCGGACATCTGACATGGGAGGTGAGCGTGTGACCACTACTCCACTAACGCACGTCGGACGCATTTGAATTTTCACGTTTGAACAAGCGAACGTGTTCACACTTGAGCGATGTGATTGGTGTGCCCGACTCATCTTCGCTGGTTGATGTTTACTTGCGTTCTCTATTGTTTAGTGATTGCGAAGCAATTCAATGATTTTTTTCTAGCACGAATCGGCTGAGCTTTTTATTCACCATTCTGTTAAGTTGTCTCTAAGTTATTCTTCATTCATTGATAGCTTAAGATAGCTTAGTGGCCAAGTCGCCAACTTACTGACTACAAGGTCCGTGGTTCGAACCCAGTCTCTACATCTCAACTCTTTCTGTCTAGCCTTGGGTAACCTGACAGTATCTCATACCTCTTGCTTCCCTCCGATGGCATGGAAGCTAGACACCGAAAGGGTGCTGAGTGTTTCGGTATCGTTCCTCTTTCATTATGCTTGATAACCTGACCGGGCGTTTCGAGCATTTCTACCCTCCTCCTAACCTCCTTTCTGCTTTGATTTTTATCAGTGACTGAATTCCTACGGCACAACAAAACCCCAATTCCATCTGGTTCATCAGTATCGGGGATCCGTAGACCTGCGGAAACGGATGCCGATCCTTGCATCACAACCTTGTATCCCCTCAAGCGACCACGCACGGAACAGTCTGTTGGCGATAATTCTGGTCTGTTGTCGCGCGTAGCTGCTGTATCTGTGAGTTATTTTGACTGCTATTGAATGAACAACTTTCTCTCGATAATAAATTCACGGCCAATGATATGTACGTTTGTCTCTAGCGTCTACGTACTTGTGACGTGAAGGATTTGCGGATGTAGCAATCAAAACAAGTCATCTTAGGACTGGTGTGAGTTTGTGCGTGGTTTGAAACCTCACTATCTTTCTGGTGACATTCAGGAGAACAATTCTTGCGCCTTCCCAAAAAACTGCACTGAAAAAGTCCCATTTCAGCGGTATTCTTAATCTTGTGATCGGCCGAAATCCCACCAGTCTTGGTAACTCTCTCACTTGGGAGGCGTAAGCTTTGTGTCACATTTTTATGGTAACCCCCGTTTGGCTTGATTAGACGCTAACTGATATCAAGAAAGCTACACCCAGGAGTTCCCCAACATGTTAGCGCGGTGAAGCGATGGCTCAAGTGGTTAAGGGCACGAATTTACTGACTGGAAGGTCCGACCCAGGAGTCAACATGTTAGCGCGGTGAAGCGATGGCTCAAGTGGTTAAGGGCACGAATTTACTGACTGGAAGGTCCGTGATGCGAACCAACCCGCTGCCTCTCGACTTCCCCTGTCTAGGCTTATCATCGTCATCATCATCATCAATGACAGCAACATCAGTGTTGGCACTGATGCTTCACTGCCTTACAACCATAAAGTTCGTTTAGTTATATATATATATATATAATTGTATTAAAAGCCCTACATTGAAGAGAAGAGAAAAAGAGTGGGTGAGGGAGGGGACCTAGTGCTGGCCTATGTCAAGCATTATGGGGTGCCTACACCTACAACCGCTCAATCACATAATCTGGAAAGAAACTGACAGCAAGAACGCCACTGACATCAATTAGCCGCCATTTCTTGCAACGTCTCCAGCCAAACACAGATGGGGTCACAAGGACCCCATCCTGGAAGGCGCACAACACCAACAACACCCAAACTCTTCGTGACCTCTTTGACGCCTTTCTACCAAGTCCTCTGCTAACTGCATGGCCTAACACCGTAACTTGTGGGATGTGATCAGCTGACTTATCGAGGGGAAAATACATTTCCTGAAAACTACTTGGTGTACCTCGGCACCGCTGATCTGATGTTCTCATCAGGTCCACACTGCTTCCGCGGCACTAATGGTCAAAAATTTCCCCAAGATCTGGACTCAGCGGCCAAATGTCTAAATCATGAATTAGGGCAGATTGAAGCGCAGCAGTGTAACTCGTAAACCTGATAGCCAGAATGGTGTCACCTCGGAATAAAAGTGTCCGGATTTTGCAAACACTGCCCCGGTTTTCCTGATCAGGGAAGTAATTTCGTCTGTCACAAGTCAGCGGGGATCTGCGCCTCTCTCCGAGCAGACAAACTTGTTTTCACCTGGAAGCAGAGGACTTAGATTTGATTGCACCCTTTTGAAGTGTAAAGCGCATGCCTAGCGGGGATGAGATGGCCCAAGTGGGTAGAGCGCGAATTTACTGACCGGAAGGTCCGTGGTTCAAACCCGACCTCCGCCATTCGACCCCCTATCTAGGCTTGGGCAACCAGGCAGTACCCCAGCCCTCGTGCGAACTTCTGGTGGCATGGCAGCTAGGCACCGAAAGTTGGCTACAGCTGAACGCATGTCTGGCCGTTTGGCAGAATTATTTAGGTTGTTTCGAATAGTTCGCTCTTCCAAGGCGTAATCCTAGGAGAGAGACATCGTCATGTTTGCTAGTGGTATTATATAAATTCCTAGTGTGTTTGAGACAGCACGTTCATTACGGAGTTAACGGGGAGGGGCCACAGATGGCATCTTTGTTGAGCACCAGTGACACCGTAGACATTTAGGGTAGCCCATAGAGACGTCACAAAGAGACCGAATCTCATCATGGTGCAGTTTTTTGCCCACTTTAATAACCCGTTGACCCGTACCGGGGGATGCTCATTCAACATACACATAGTCTCTCTAGCAAGCTGGTCAGTAGATTACTGCCCGACAAAGTCTTCAGGCTGGGGTTGGAACAGATTTTCCTTGAAATTGGAGCTATTTGCTTGGCTTCTTACCGACTGCCGCCGCCTTGTGATCAAGCCTTTTCTCTTCAAATATATGGATTACAGAGGAAGGGTGGAACCATGATAAGAGGACCCTTATAAATACCGATAAATGCCACACGTAGCTACACATAAATAAGAAAGACTGAGATGGGCGTTAAATCGGCCTTCGACTAGTTTGAGTTTATATGGGTTAGGGAAGATAGAAGACAGATAGAAGGTTGTCGACGGATTTTCAGCAACTTTATGATATATACATGTATCGCGATATCTCGAATATCGTAGCGACTGAAACATGAGGTGGCCTGGTGCAGCACATTTAGTTGCCTGGAAACATCACAAACGAAAGATTCGGCTGGGTTCTAGGTGAGTCTCTCGAAAAACCAAATTAGTTTGCAAATGAGTGTATATTCGCTAATTTCGTGCAATTTGGCTTCAAGTAGAACATAAGGCTGACGGAAACCTGGGGACTGCGCCTACCTGAT